TATATAAAAGTGAAGCATTAATTATGGTAGGATTTCTTTGAGAAGTCTTGAGGTGGGGTGTAAAAGACACTTTGATGGTTTGGAGGAAGTAATTACTGAAATTAACTCAAAAAGATCAATGAGCACACACAGTTGATTTTCATTTATTATGCTTTTTCATTTAGCAGCAGGACAAAAAATTACTTTGACAAGAAACCCTTCTTCATATAACGTAGTCTTCAGTTCAGCTATTCTCTTTAGAATATAACACACTTTAAAATAAATATCATAAAATACTATTTTATTATTATTATTTTTACAATTCTCCTGAGATTGAAATCAAGTTTAGAAACAAACTAAAGAAAGGAAGGTTTCAACTTGTTCTCAGGACTCAGGACCAGAGATGCAGAGGTAAATAAGAAATGTATTGTATTTACTTATTTATTTTTGTTGTGGGTGGTGGGGGTTCTTTCATAGGACGTTAGAGCTGTGTGTCCTAGCAGATTAGGTTTTGTACACACAAATATTTAAATGCAAATCTTTAAAAAAAATGTATGGAACCACTGAGAACCCAGATTTCGAAAGTTTTTGTGACTGACAGAGAAAAAAAATGCTGTAATAATGAAGTAAAATGCAACAAGGTACAATGGCTAAATTTAGTAAGTAAGGAAAAAATGAAAGCATCAGACATGATATAAAAACTGTACCCTTGCTTACACTAATTCATGAAACAGAAATTTCATATTTTAGCTACATTATATCCTTTTCTGTGGGTTTTCTTCAAGACATTATCTCGTTGCATTCTGTTTTTTCTTTTTTTTTTTTACAAGGATCTCTTATACCGAATAGGAAACACCAGCCATGCTATCACTCCACTTCATATAATCATATAAACGTTTTAGATATAAAAATCTGGGCTTTTCTGTAGAATATGTTGTTAAAATTGGGGAATAATTTTGATATAAACCAGGTTAGCTTTCAGTTTTCAGCTTTGATTCCGTGGGATCCACATTCAGCTGACATGAACAGCAACAGAATTACAGTCATTTTTAACTACATTTTTTCTTCATCCGTTTTATCAATATTAACCCCTGGAGAGTCTTAAGGACATTTATTGTCGTTAAGCACAAAGGTGGATGCATTTTTAAGACGCCTCCAGGTGTTAATAACACTGTAATCACCCATTTATTTGCTTAAATCTGTAGAGTTGGTGAAATAAAGTATTTTATTAATACGGAAAATGTCCGAAATACTTCCTTACTGCACAGGAAAACTGGGTGCACACATCTACAGATGGTATAGTAGGAAGTTATCTTAAAATAACAATTTCACGACTAAAACTCCTAAGAAACTTTTAAGAAGATTCTTTCATTTGTGTCTCTATCAGAGGAATCAGCTGCTCTCTAAGGGAAGGTAGCACTTTGTGAAAGTTTACATATCTTTAAGGGTAGAATTTACAGCTTTAAAGTTGGTTAATTGGTTGATTGCAATGCCCATTTTTAAAAGATGTTCGTTGGTCTGTTTTTTCATTGCAGAATTGGACCCCAGAATGCTCTTTGATAGACCCTCTGTTTTTAAGGCATGTTCAATTGAGGAAAAAATACCTCTAGGATAGGTATTTATGAGTGACCCTTATAAGTTGCTGTGGGTGGGTAAACTAAACTCTGGAAATAATTACAAACTATGTCCCTCTATTGTTCTTGCTGTTTTGGCCTCCTAGAGCCTTTCACAAAGAGTGTTCTTAATAATTTATATTGTTTTGGTGCACCTCATCTCACAATGAAAAGAACCTGCAAGTCGATCCTAGAAGTACGTTCCTGGAAACAGGCTGGTTGAAGCATGAATATCCAGCATGAATTTGAAACAGCAGCTTTTTGCTATCTTGCAAAATCAAACACGGCTTCAGCCAATATTAAATATGCAGAAAATCTTAAGGAAGATTTTGTTCCTTGGAACATTCCCAGAGTTCAGGTACTAAGGCGGTGAGCAAAATGATGTTATTACTGATATAAATACCCACCAAATCTATAAAAATGTAATTAAAGTCACAAATTTAAGCAACTACAAACTCTGAAACCTGCTGGAGTACAGAGAAGAACAGTTTTGGACAATCGCCTTTTGTCATGAAATCAGTGTCACATTTGGATCACATGATTATGAGCGAGAAAACAGCATTCATGGTGACAAATGTCTGATATGCTATGAATAAAGGGAGTGAAAAATAAGCTAATAAGTTAACCTTTACAGATTTGGACACTGAAATAGTCTCTAAATTCTTTCTTTCTTAAACTATGAATTTTGATTGTTAGGTTTTATTTTTTGGTGGATTTGTTTTTAATGAAACACTAGTCAAATCTGTTTGGACGAACAATGTGAATTTATGGAAGAAACATGTTTAAATACCTTAAATGCCTTACTGTATTATTTTGTTTGCAATTGGTCTG